CGGGTCTGAATTAGATTAATTGGATTAATAACCGATTATTTTCAATTCAGTTTAAAAAAAAAGATTGGATTTTTCCAAAATTAAAATTAGTAAACTTTGAATCAATCCATCCTATATTTTTGGATAAATTTTTATTAAAAAAAATATTTTTTTTCCTTTCTCTTTACTACGAAAATTGAAAAGAAAAAGAGCAAATGATTCCGTTGCCAGAAATGATTTTTACATCATAAATGAAGAAAGTGGCATTTAAGCTTACATTTCAATGAACCGACTTAATTTTAGTTTATTTAAAAATAAAAATCAATGAGGCGGTCAACACCGAATGTATGTACAAATACGGCCGGTTTGTGTGAACCGGGAGCGTCATTCCTAGAGAAGGCGTTCAAAGGGAAGTGTTGATAAATGTCATTTGAGGAATATGAGTAGAAAAGTGTAGACGTCCATTGCTCTGCTGTAAGAATCCACGAAGAAACGAGGGCTAGACGTGGTGCTGGTACTCGGCCGAAACGAGCATGAGGTCGGGTCCGTGGCATTTGAGAACTCGGGTCACGGGTTTTGAGCTCGAGTCGCAGGTTTTGGGTTTGGGTTTCATCCGTTCCATATCCATCTACATTCAGAACTTGGTGGAGAGAGGACGATTTCGAGCGAAGAGAGGACGATGAGTCTGATTAGAGTATCGAAAGGGGCGAGAGGTCAATTAGGTTTTTACTTCCGAAGTATCCAAGTCTGTTTTTTTTCCGAACAAAACAACAACAGGAATTAGTCAATTTAGGGTTGCGATTTGGGTTTGCGCTCGTCTTTATTGCGGCTCGTCTGTTTTCTCTGCAGCGTCTCCCTCTCACCGGTTGGGTTCTGTATGCACCATTTTAATCCGTGATTAACAGAGTTTCCGATCTCTCTCGTTAATCATACAGCGTTGAAAACAGCGTTTTGCTTTTAAAAAAAAATAAATAAAAACAATAGTACATCCTCAACACAATAAATTTCGTCCATTGCAAAGCTTCCAGATAAAAAAAAATTAACGAAATTAAACACCCGTTTTCCTGTCTGGACGCGAACAAGCCCTGAGTTCTATCTTGAAAGGGTAAGTCTTATCGACGTCTCTTCTTCCTCATGGCCTGGGGGAACTTGAGAGGGACGGGAAGGGTTGCGTGCAAAACAGTTTTGACGCGCGAGCATTTGCAGCCCAGATGCTCGTAATGCTTTCTGAGATCGATGCTGCTCATCCTCAGATCCTTGGCTATGTCTTCCACGCTGGTCTTGAACTCATCCACGTGAAGCGTCAGCACGAGCACGTAGCTTGTCAGAAGGTTGATCTTGTCGGTTGGTATCCTGTCCGATTCAAGATCCCTGAACATTGACTTGAATCTCTGTTGTATGACCCCAGGAAACCTGTGGTCCTTGGCACTGTTGTAACCGTTCATGGATTTTACGTCCTTGAACTTCACCAGATGGGTGATGAAAGACAAGATACACGACATTGTCTTCTTCTCCGTCTCATCCTGCAAATGCCCAACAAAACGAAACATGTCGTAACAAACCCGAGCTTGTTTCCCTAATTAATACACTCTTAATTGTGCTCATTAACCACTACCAAACCATCATTGATCAGTCTGACACAAAAGTTGGAACCTTTTTCGATATAATGTTACCACTCACCTTGATATCCCGCAGCTTATAGATTCTATTCCGTACAAACACGGGGTATGTGTCAGGTGCTGCTCCAGTACCCTGCTGCAGATGTGAGTAAATATCCTCGAGGAAACCCCATTCTCCCTTGAGAATAATCTGATCCAATGGATAAGCTTCCCGAGGAGTTGCAGCAGAAACATCACACGGAGGAATGTTGCGTGAAATAATAGAATCAGTGCTTTCAAGAGCTTCCTTCTTGATTTCCATTTCGTTAAGTTTCCCCTCGAGGTGCTGCTGAGACTCGGGATCGTCCCCTGGGTTCAAAGCTCGCATCTTTTTGTCCTGCAGAAAACACATCAAATTAAGGAGTAAATCGATAACCGATCGATATCGTCTTTTCATGGACAGAATTGCCAAAAGGGCATCGATGCGATACAACTGGGACATCAAAGACCATACCCGGTTTATAGCTGACTTTGTACCATAAAGGTTGTTAAGTTTTCTGGCTTTGACAGCTCGTTCTGCCGCAGTTAATTCAGTGCTAACTCCACCTAATGAAGCTTCTGAATCAACAGATTCCGCATTTTTAACTCTTGGCTCCAATATGAAAATCTGTTAGCGACATCACGCAATCAGAACTCCAAAACTGGATTCTCGACAGGGGAGCAAGACTTGACATTTTTCTCACTAAGTTAGAGCAATACTAGTATACTACTAACATTAACAAAGAAAGTAATTTAACGCTTAAAGAAAAACCTGCATACACTTCCTCTAGACCTCCATACAAAAACCAAACAAGAACATCCCAAAGCTGAAAGAATCTCACTAACTTTGATCCACTCTCAATTGTATTCTTAAACTTCAAGCAGCAAAACCAAGCAACTGCAAATTACCATAAGAAAAGGTTGGATTTTTTTATTTTACCTTGTTGGAAGCAATTGGGAGAATTTTCAGTGTCTGCTTCTCCTTGTCGAGAACACCAAGTGTATACACACATGTCTGTCCGGTGGCTCCCTCGCCGGTATAATTCGAGCCGACGAACTTCACGCTCGAGCCAGGTGGGCTCACCACGACCTGAAGCCTCTTGCTCTTCGTCCCGGCCTTATGTCTATAAACCTCGACATCCGGACAGTGTCCGTCTCCATCGCCATCGCCATCGAATTTATCAGATGGGTCATACCCAGAAGCGAAATAGGCGACGATTGGAGCGATTCTCTCGGGTTTCTCCGAGATTTGCTTGACCCTGATGTTCATTGTCTCTTCTTTCTCTTCGTTGGGTTTCTCTATCTCGTTTGTTGTTTGCTGCTTGTTCTTCTTTTTCTTCTTCGTTTCTCTATCTCGTTTGTTGTTTGCTGCTTCTTGTTTTTCTTCTTCTTCTTCTCTAGCTTTGATATTGGCACTTCTTCTTCGTCGAGGTAGTCATTCAGATCCGATTCGTCGGCCATAATTGAAAAACCCTAAATTTCATTCAACAATAAAACCCCAATCAGGATCGAAGAATCCTTAACCCCAAGACAGAGACGTACAGAACCGAATCGAAGAACTTTTACCCGTTCGATGGAGAGGAGCGACGGCGACGGATCCTGGATGATTTCAAAGAATCCCCGGAAATTCAAAAGGAAATCAACGAAGATCGAAGAGGAAAAAAGGAAACAGAGATATAACAGTGACAATCGAAGTAGGCAAGAGAATGATAAAAGAGTTTAGGTCGAACGGGCGGCAACCCTAGTTTATAAAAAAAAAAAAGAATAAACCCCAAAAAAAAAATCCTAAACCATTAAATCTCTCAACTTTACAAATTAAGTAAAAAAAATATCAACAGAAAGTAAAAAGTTAATAACACAGACGTTAAAAAAGTTATTAAGAAATGATACATTAACATTTTTTTTATTATATCCTATTAATTACAACAGTACTGTTGAGATCCAACCCTTGGAAGAATTATTACCTAAGTAATAGTTTTTTTCCTAATACATGGTAGGGATGGGCACGGGCGGATACCCGGACTTTTCAGGGTATCTTTATCTCGTTCTCGGTCTCGCCGGGTTTTTGACTGAAACATCTCGTTCTCTATCTCATGAAACTCGGATACCCGAGATTCGGGTACCCGAGACACGACATCGGGTATCCGCGAAACCCGAACCCGTACTCGTGTAAAATTTTTTTTAAAAAAAATCTGTGCAATTTTACAATACTAATACATCATCAACATAAAATTCAACATCCAAAACATATCCAAAATGCATCATAATTATAAATTGAATAAAATCCAAAATACATTATGATTCAAGTTCAACAACATTCAAAACATATCCAAAATGCATCACAATTCTTGAACGCATATGAAAAGCATACTTATACAAACAAAAAAAAACATACAAATCGAAATTAGAATTAATAACACATTTGAACTTTGCCTTAGTACCCAATTTTTTCGGAGAATTAAGAACAAATTAGTTAGAATAAAAAATCAATAATAGAAAAATATTGAAGAGAGATCGATCTGCAACAGAGACTTGGTTCTTGTTTGTTTCTAACTACAGAAATAGCCTAAAAAGGGGCAATCTCGCTAAACAACTTTCAAAAAAGATTTTCGCAACCGACGAATGTAACAGAAAAGCCAAACTTGTATACCATCCAAAGCGGAACACAAGCATTAAGATCTGTCTGTAATGTCAGGAGAGAACATATCAAAGGCACATGGTTATCCAACAGCATAGACACCAATCAACCAGCCTCTCCAAATTAACAGACACAGCAAAGGGCGCGAGAAAGAGAATTCAAGGAAATCGCTCATCAAATCCAGAACTACAACACAGAGATCCTTAAAAAGGTACAACAAGCGTGGCGGAAACCGCATCTAGATGAGAAAAATCCTCCTTTGCCTATTGAACCAAAGATCCTCGATTCATAAACTATCACCCAAAAGCAAACAGACTACAATCATTACGACGAAATCACAAGTGCCTGAGAGAGATATAAATGATTCAAGATGTTATCGTCAT